TCGCTACGACTTCGCGGGCGGAGTAAAAATGTGTGAATTATTGTTTTGGGCAAAATCTTCGGAAAATGGCCCAAACGACCCTGAATGACGAAACGGACTGCATCAATGCGTCTTCGAATCATTTATATGGTTCGAGAGGGAGATTTATTAAAATGGGGGAAGTATACCACGATCGACAAGCTGGCGACTCCTTGTAAAAATAAAAAAAAGAGAAAATTAAAACGGAAAACAATCCCCTTTTGAGTTTTTTCCATAGTTTCTAATCCTTCTTTAACTGATCTCATTTGTTTTTCATTTTCATGTGATCGTAATCTCTTCCAGTCATTTTTTTGAATTTAACTAAGATATTTCGGCACCCTTCTTTGTTAGAAAATGTAGTGGGTCTATTTCCCGCCTCAACCTCCCTCATACATAAATCACAAAAGATCATAGTAGCTTCTCTATGATCATAGTGACTTCTCTATCCCACATGGCTGATGTTCCAGCCTCTTTAGCTTTACTCATTGAATTCTGTCAGATTAATGGATAAACACAAAATATTTCTTTTCATGACAAAAAAAATCACTAAACAAGTAATTATACAGAGAAACAAAAAAATACAACAACAATTCCATATTCTAAGAGTTATTTTAATTTGACATAACACAAAGAATAATATTAGTAGCTGGTGTTTATAAAACAGAAGTGATTTACCTAAAGAGAAGAACAACAATATTTTCAGCTACAAGTGTAAGCAATCAAAACACAAAATGATAAATATTTGAATAATACCATATCATATTTATGAGGCATAAAACTTTAGTTGAAACTACCGAACAACACAAAAGTATTAGCAATCTTTCATATATATATATATAAAAAAAAAAAACTATAAAAGGAAACATAGCTTCTTAGAAATCGTTGCAAAGCTCCTAATTTGGATTAATTCTTCTTCAAAACAAATTGAGTGCATGTAAATTAGAGCAAAAAAACATAAACTAATAATTAGCAATACCAAAAGAGTCAATAATGCACGTGAACTATCTTTTCATACAACTTTACCAACCATCCATACTTGATATAGAGTACAATACTAACAAAATATTTGATTTGATAGGTGCATCAGCATCATCATCATCGACACTCTCGGAATCAAAACATTAGACCAAAACTAAACTATACGAGTTCGACTACAAAATTCCTCCAATTATTTCTGCTGATTGTTAAAATAAATAAGACAATAATATTTGAAAGTTTTGTACATACTTTCTCACTCTAACCCTATGTTGCTCTTACAACTAAGGGTACATATGTATAAAAAAATCCAACTCATATGGTATGCCTTAAAAACAAACTTCTGTATATGCAAATGGAAACAAGAGATTAGTTTTTTATGGATGTAAACAGATTCGAAATACAAATTCAAAGCAATCAGGATCGAATATTTACCTTCGAAGAACAACGATGTGCAATCAAAGCGAGGCCTGGATCCGCAAGACCTTTCCCTTCTGCGCCCAGCAACGAGTTCGAACAGAGGAGATCCTGCTTCTAACGGAGAAGCCGGGATACAGAATGGTGACGGCAGCGAGGAAGCAACAACTTCGAACGGAGAAGATGTGGCTTCAAACGGAGAAGATCCAGCTTCAAACGGAGAAGATCCGGCTTCGAACGGAGAAGCCAGGATACATAATGGTGACGGGATCGAGAGAAGAAGATCCGGCTTCGAACGGAGAAGCCAGGATACATAATGGTGACGGGATCGAGAGAAGAAGATCCGGCTTCGGACGACCAAAAGAGGCGAAGCTCTAGGTCACGAGAGAGGTCGCTCTAGGTCGCGGGAGAGCCGAAGGAGAAAGGCAAAGGCGAGAGGCGAATGAAAAAAGGGCAAGGTCACGGCTGCGTAAATTTTTATCGCGAAACGCAGGCCGCGGGGCCGCCCGCGGTATGCGTGTTTTAGGAATTCAAAAACGCATTTTCAAATAATCTCTCAATAAGTGCTAACCAAACGGTAGGGCGGCATTTTCAAAACGCCGAAAACGCCACCCACACTTATAAACTGCCCCAAAACGGATCCAAAGTCAGAAGTGTTGAAAGCTATTCCATTGTGAACATTTGTTATCGTCGTTGAGAAAGGGAGGAAATGTGATGTGATATGAATTCTGCTGTTCTTCTATGCTGCTTATCTTATCCCTCTTCTTGCTTATCTAATTCTTATGCATTTACATATCTAACACTTACCGTATCTAACACTTACCGTGTGTTATTTACATATATACCACCCAAATTTTTCTACGTGTTTTAAATAATATCATCTTTAACTTTTTGAGTACTAGAATGCACCTTTTTCATTTTTCATGAAAGCCTGACGTGTAATTTATACAAAATATGAAGTTTGCCAAAATAGCCATACATAAGCCAAAATATAGTTCGCTGATAAATGCATGCATAAAGCATATTGTTAATGTTGGCTCAAGCCCAACTTGAGAAAAAAATTATTTGATGGAGGAAATTCGTAATCCTACAAATATACACACTCATGCACACACGAGCAAATGCATGCAAGTAACATGTTTATGAAATTGACTCGATTCAAGTCCAACCTAAGCGGAGTTGATTTAAATTTTTACACTAAAAACAGGTCGTTGGCCACGTTTCAAAATAACCAATTTATCCTAAAACGTACAAGCTGCCCCAAACAGACCCTAAAAGCATACTGACATTAATTAAAAAAAAATGAGAAGAAATAAAATTAGACCTATAAACGTCTATAAACTTATCCAAACATAGCAATTATCAGAAAAAAACAGATTCATAGCTTTTGAAAAAACCCAATGTCCTTCAGCGGATGTAGAATTAACAGTAAATCTATTTCATTAGCCTGTATGAACAGATTACACAATAAAAAAAAAAAAAAGGAAAAAACATTAAAACACTCAAAAAACTTAGTTAAATGTCATGAAATTATCTTTCCACATTATAAGATTCCTCTTTTACAACTTGTATAAAGATCAATACAATTATGTATAATTTTTACACGTCATATCGGAGACAACCACTGATTGACATTGAATATGGTCACAATCAAGTTAATAGAAGATTTAAATACATATTTTGATCTTTTGTATTTACATATCTAACACCTGAATTTCAATTTTTTATGTACAAGCCACCTTGAAAGTTAAAAATGGTGGTATTAGAATTGAGAGAGTAATGGATGCAAAGTACAAACTTTTAGCAATATAAAAAAAAAGACTCATCAGTTCTGTCTTTGCGCTGGAGAAAAATACTTCAGACCAAGGGGGAAATTTAATGGCTGCCAAGGTTGTCGAACTTTATACCTGTGCTCCCCCTTTGTTTATCTTATAAGATGAGTTCCGTTTTCTTTTATATTTGATATTTTTTAATTAGCAATAAAGCAGTAGCATAAGCAAACTTCATACAATATGATCTTGGTGGAATCGAACCACCACCCTCTCAAACTGGGTGGCAAACGTTTGCCACCCAAATTTTGAGCGCTCTTACCATTTTGAGCTTAAAGACCAAGATCCAAGTGTCTACAACAAAAACATAGCTAGGGTTTTTTAAGCAGGAGTAATTTTTATACCAGACATACTGAATAGCAGAAAAAAGAACTGCTTCAATATTAATTATTCATTGAACACTGAATATTTAATTACGCATCTTACTGAACACTGAATAGCAGAAAAAAACGCAAATTAAAAAAGAACTGCTTCAATAGTTAACGCCATAATTATTTATTGAAAACTGAATAGCAGAAAAAATTATGTTAAAAAAATAAAAATAATAACCAATAAAACAGTCATAAAAAGAACAATATTAATAGTAATAAAACATTTATCAATAGGGTTTAAGAAAAGAATTTAACATTGTTCATTTTGATGAACATGAGACCATGAGACCCTTTCTAGATATATGAATTTCATTTCGTAAAAAATGTACAAAATCAAAAATAATAAATAAGCTGGTAATAATTACCTAAAATTAAATTAGTGCGTGAGACCGCAATCCACTTGACATGGAGAAGGGAAACATAGCATATCCAATTAAAATTCAAAAAAATTTTAAATTTTTTTAATTAAGCTGCGTGCGTCGCCTTCAGAATTATTAATCTAAAACTAATTTTTTAAATTAAGCTGCGTGGGACTAAAATTAATCAAATTGCTCGTTTTTTTTTTTTTAAATCTAGTGAAAAATTACTTTAACTACGATTCTTGTTTGAAATTATACTTTTAGCAAAAATAACTACGGATTTAATTTTACTACAAATAAATTGAATAACGTAAGCATCGCCTAGGTTTTTAACGTAAAAAAAAACAAAAAACAAGTCAAATAAGAATCTTAGATAAATTTTTCATTTTAAGGAATACGTAGCTTTAACGTAAAATGTAAAGAAATTTTTACCCTAGGCAACAAGAATTTGAATACAACTTGTATAAGACTACCACTCGTATTCAAGTAGTATTTACTTGTAGGCAACAAGAATTTGAAAGGGAGGAGTTAGTCACGTATTCTTTAAGAAGTTAATCTTAAAACAAGTTGCATTTAAGTAGCATTTTCATCTTTATTCGGAAAAGAACAAGAAATTGACAGGGAAACCTAAATTTATATCGCACTATTATACGTAGTTACTGCAATTTGCACATTAAATAAATTAAAATTATCTTATTAAATTTTAGAATCACGAGCTTGTTTACAATTAATTATAACGAATACAAAAAAAATATAATATTATACATAGTGAAAGCATTTTTTTTAAAATACATAATTAAATTACACCATTCATTCAACTATCTCTACAATTTGATTTTACGCATAAATAAACAAATACTTGAGCTGTGCGAATTACACTCAAAAATAGTAATGCAAATAACAAGAATACTAGTAGCAGTATATGCTGCACAATCCGAAAATTGCAACAGATGGAAGTAAACCAAATTGAAGCAGCGAAAAATTTACAAATGTCTGAATACAAAAACTCAAAATGCTGAAAATAGTAAAAATTAGCCGTTTAAAAAATTAACTAACAATCGCTAAAATAACAAATTAAAACAGCATCACGCCGCATGAAATAACTAAGAAAATGTTTAAGAAAAAATAAATAAAATTAAACAATTAAAGAATGAAAAGAAATTAAAATCAACCAAAACGATCAATCGATCATATAAAGCTTCAGAACTGAAAATCCCTTCCGCTCCTTATCTGCGAGCATCAACTTCTACCACCCCATGAATATTTTGAGTATGTCCAAGCAGCAGCAGCACATCCAACACTCCGGTACTCAGCAGCAGCACTTACCATCTGCTTGAGGAGAAATCTTGCCAAAAAACTACCGACAGGTACTCCATTGAAAAATATAAAAAAAACTAGACTTTAGAGACAGTATTACATATATTATTTGCATGTCATGAAATGAAACACTATCTTATAGTCACATCCCTGTACAACAGATTTAGATTACAAGTTAAAAGAAAAACAGCAAAATACACCTCGCCAATACAGCAAACTATCTTGGGTCAAAAACACCATAAATAAATTGCATGAAGTAATTCGATAATGTTTAAATCATAACTTTTGTTACTGAGCGAAGAAATTCTTCATAGTTCCGTAAGAAGTAATTTTTAAATTCATTTAAAAATCTTAATAAAGCTGATTTCAACTTCAATATTTATGCTCTTAAAACTGTTAATCTTCTTGAATTTTCGTAGATCTCAACAGATCTTTCGGGCTGCAACAGATCGCAAAAAAACATCTCAAAAATAAAATTACTGTTGGTGTGATGGAGCCGGAATTCATAATTCGCTTAATAGATAGAATGAGTTCGTGATTTAGTACCTTCGGAGAAGAAATTTACGCCATTGAAATGTTTGGCCGATCATTAGAAACCTTTAATTTTTATATAAAACTCTTTGATTAACGGCTGAGATTTGCAGATAGTAGTAACTAAAGCTTGTTTAAATTTACCTCACACGATGTATGTCAGTTGGTTGAGAAGAGAGCATTAGCTGCGAGCTCGTAGTAAGAAGACCAGAGTTGCAGAGAGCATGGCATAACTAAAGAGACGACGCACAAGGGAGAACCCAGGGTTCAAAAACACCCCGTACGATTCCCCCACCCCCCCAAAAAAGATTAATTTTATTAAGGATGTTTGGCCTGCCATGCGAGCGCACCCAACATGGCAAAGGCCGGGATGACAACATCTATCGGATAACATATAGCACATCATCCGTTACCTCATCCACAATCCAAGCTCTCGTTCCTTCTCGATCATCCACATGTAGATCACCTATCTATATTTCTCAGTATTACATGAAACAAAGTATACAAGCCTTCCTCAACCTGATTCGTAAATACGACATCCTTCTTCCACCGGGATAGAAAACGGCCGCATCCCGTTCAATAAATCACCGGATCTCGCCAGATCTGGAAACTCCGAGGAAAACCAGCCTCTCCCCATGAAATCGTACCACGAGTCTGCTTGTAAGCTATCAGATACCCTGCGATGTAAAAGAAGAAGGAAGTAAAACAAACATAGGAAGATCCATACCTTAAGAGAAGCCAGATAGCTAATCTCGACCTCCTCCGGAAACGCAGGGATCTAAACCCGAGAAGGAGGCGGTTTCCAATCCAAAGAAGCCGACCCTATTTATTGACGACAATGCAGAAGATCAACGGCTGTTCGAGTGCGGTTTATGTTTTACGGTTACGATGAATCCACGCTCATGTTTGCGCTGGTGACAGCCCCGTTAATTGACCATCTTCCACGTGGCAAACTATTCAACGGTGTAGAATGGGTTTCATTGAGAGAGGTTGGATATTCATTTGTAAAATTACATTTATTCGTTACCAAATTAGAACGAGGGGGGCATTATGCGTTACGTGACCGACTCTTTACAATTACGTCATTGCTTACGTCATTGATTTATTGTGTTAAGGATATAAATAAGAGCGAGGTGCGAAAAAATCATGTTCGTTCATTTTGCATGATTTTAATAAGGAGGGCGGTTGGATCGCAAGATAAAGCTGTTTTCTGTTTAAATTGAACAGGCGATCGTTTCAATTAATTATTTGCCAAAAAAAATTTCCAACAACAATTTGACCTATTAAACCGGCTTAATTACTCCTTCCCCGTAAAAATAAATAATAATAATATTTTTAGCGTCAATTAAAGAAAAAAATAAATTAAAATATTCAACAAAGAGGTGATTTTTATTCTTACTCTTTTATGGATGAGAGAGAGGATAGAAACCAATAATACATGTAGCTTCATATAATATTTTTAACTTTTGTTTTCAAGCAATCAACTAGCATTGTAATTTTTCAAGTTATTTAGGGTGGTGAGAAGCATTCCACTTTAAAAAGTAAATGACAATATCAAGATAGTCTGAAGGGAAAACATTAGACTTGAAACCACAACTATCACACAGACTTTGTTGTTCAGATTGATACACCA